CCCCCCCCCCCCCCCATCCACACACACACAACTGACAACATGATAAAAAAAATAAAACACATCTCTTCAATAAGAAAAACAGATAGAAGGAAGGAACCCACCGTATTTCAAGGTCTTATATGGAGATTATGGGTTTTTGTTGGGTTCGGAATAAGCTTATTCTAATTAGCAAGGTGTGTTATTAAAGAAGAATATAAGATTTCTATCTTAGAATTGCACGGTCAGTCAGTCCATTAACTTCGTTCCTATGGCAACAACCAATGGTTGGCACGAAGCCTGGTTAATAGTCTTAGTTAGTCAGTTCTAACAGGGGTTTATTTTACAGTTTCAGCTCAGTCAGTTTACGTTAATCTCTCTACAGCCGTAATGAAGTTAAGTCGAGCGTAGTTATACCGGTGTGACAGTAGTAATAGTAATCCCAGGAATGGAAATCTCGGTCACGTTTTCCTTTCTAACAAAAGATTGCCAAAGCGTCACGCTCTATAAATCTGTTAATTTTGTCTATAACACTAAAACCCTTGGTGACGGAAAATTCTACTCAATATTTCGCCGGAAACACTTACATGTGATCGTTTTCTTATTAATTATGAGGGGCAGTTGCGTTCTAGGACAACGCAGACATAAGCTGACCACGCGTCATGCAGGTCATCAATAAAAGCTTTTTGTTTTTTTATAGTAGGTCCCGTTGTGGTAACATGCTCTGTATCGGAGTGTCCCCCTGCATGTGCATTTTATGGTAGGCGGTGATTTATAAGAAAAATGACCACTTTTAACGAATTCAAATAGCCTTTTCTATTCTATGCCTTTTGTCTTCCAAGACCTAACTTCCCTATATGTATTGCTTGGTATGACACACGTGCTATCAAATATCATTATTTCACAATTATAGATTTCAGTTTAAATGTATTTAAAACGAATTTTGATAAAAAAAAGGCAAAGAACATTAATGTATTGTTGCTCAAACTTCTCTACTTATACATATATTTTAAATATACTAAATTTGAAACTATTTGACACCTCAATCAAACCGATTGGGAAATCTATAAATTCTGAACCAGTATGTGTATTACAAACAGGCTTTATTAACACTTTGAAATCAGCTGTACGTCTTCCAGTATTCAATACTGAATGTGTATAACTAGCAGCGTGATGTAGGTTTTCATTAGAATATGTCACTATTTTGATATATTGTCAGGTAGGTAAAAGCCTTGTTATGAAATTTTGCTGGAACTAATAAAGATTATGACTATACTAAAATGCGTCGAAAAAAAATCGTGTGCACCACTTCCTGTGCACGTATAAATTCAACTATATAACTTCAGATAATCAATACACTAGTAACACTATTCCTCGTGAATTATCGTGCTATCATTCAGTTGGTAAGTTGGGTAGAAAAATCAATACTCCACAGCTGAGATTTTATATGATGGGTTTGGTTACCCTCTTTAAAAGGAACATGCTTCTCAAGACAAACAAGTGGTTAAGGAAATGGATTAACAGCTTTAGGAGCATGGAAGCGTTCTTGACCCTCAACCATTACCTGTTTTTGAAGAAATTATAGACATATTTTTGGGACCATCGGTAATATTTTTCTTTGAAAAGGGACCAGCATAATTTATCAGTGAAAATATTAATTAAAAAAAATATCACCCCAATGATCCACACGTTTTATTGTCATGAAATTATCTTCTCCCGTGAGTGTTTCATAAGGTGATTTTACTGAAAGCCGTGCTTCGTGCGGCAATTTTTTCAATAACGGGTCAAGAAGCTGTGGGCACACCTACTGTATTCTGTCTGTATATTAAAAAAAACGGTTAGCATGGGGGGTTTTCATTCATAGCTACATCCTAATTGAGTGCTTTACAATATGCTTGACATTTCCAGAATTCCAAATAATTACAGACCTTTTACGAGACGACAGCCTAATCATGGATATTCTTTTCAGCATTCGTAATTTCCTTCGAGCAGTAACCTCTACATCTAGATTTTCATTCAAAACCGAAGGTAACTGTTTCTGATTATGTTGCGAAACAAGTCGCCCAGGGCAGCGTACGTGCTGTCGGAATTTCGTGCATGAAAACAGCAAAAAGCAGACATCTTTGTTAAGATGCTAATGATACAAGGGCAATGGAATATTGAAATCAATTTCGTATTGTACGTGTTAGTCATCCAAGGAATAAATCGTCCTTTCAAAAATAGGTAGTCTAAATGATGTGACGCCTACATTCGCATTAACATGTCTGAAATTGTATCCTGAATAATATTTGAATGAAAAGACACCATCAATGATTAAAGAAATAATAAACAAATAGAACTTAAACAACTTATTTATCATTCGAGAATTATCCATTCAAAGAACTAGAATATATTTCACAAGGTTTAACAGTGTCACTGTTGAAAAATGATAGGAATTACAAAGGCAGAAAGTACATATAAATGTACCTATTACTATTCACTGATATTAGTTTTACATTTCATTTTTCCACACCAAAATTTGCATCAATGAGGACGTCCCATTGCTCATTGCCAAATGGTGAAATGCTGTGGTTTCCACCATTTTTCATCAGTCGCCTAGTCGATTTTCGATTTTATGGAACTGTTCAAAACAATCGGAGTCTTGCGATCAACAACCATCGCAAGAGGCTGTGATAATGACGGAGCAGGGTTTCATGATTCCCAAGTCAAACCCCAATCCGACCAATTTCCAATCAAATACAGAGGGTGTATGTATCACTACTTTATTTTAGAAAATGACACCCGCCAAATGCCGCAGTCCGATATCCATAATACGTTTTTAAAAAACATGAGATGGATATCCATATCTTATCACACGTCTAAATACACCCCATCTCCTCTTCATGACTAAGTGCTTAAGGCCTGTTTCCACCACAAATGGGTCCCTTTTACTTAGCAATAAGAATTTAGAAACATTAATATTATGTAGGATGTAAAGCTGATGGAACACGACTCACCTATATGAATTATGGGCACATAACATGAAGTATTAGATTTGTTCATGACGTACATTTTTTACGCATTTTTGCGTGTTGGAATTTCGTTTTAAACTGACAAAGTCATTTTACATCTTTTTTAAAGCAGACCCACTGAATTGTTCATGACATTTTCTTGTGTGTCAGAGGTGCGGGTTGTGAAACATGGAACATCGCAATATCAGAGTATTGACGTTTCTCTTCTCTTCCGCTATGGAGTATGAATCCATGTGTTTTTTTTTCGTTGCTTTAATTTTAGCCTGAAAAAATTAGCGATCTCAACAGGTGGTATTACAGGTAATATAATTGAATTTGCATATATATATCAATATCATTATTCTTTTTCGAAATTTTAATTAAAGTCGCAAGTCGTAGTAGCTGTTTTTTTTTTCTGTTTCCTGTCGACCATGAGGAATGTTAGAATGAAACTCCACACTAAGCAATATGAATGTCAAAAGAAATATGGCTTAGTGGATGTCAAGATTTAATCGTGTTGAGCAGCACTTTAGATGGCAAATAAACACAACTAAAGATTGCCATTTTAATTATTAAAATACCGTTTTAACATGTTTTTTTTTTGTTGTTGTTTTTGTTTTTTTTTGCCTGGTCTTTCTAGTGTAAAGCTTACACATATAAAAGTCAGCTATAACATGTTTTTCCCTTCATTTCAGCACGAGTACACGGGGTGTAGCATGAACCCAGCCCGTAGTTTGGGACCAGCTTTGATATCAGACACGTGGACAAACCACTGGGTAAAACGAGTGACCAGTCAGAGGCGTTTCCATTTGTGTTAGCCGCCCTTAGCGTTGTCTGCCTTTGTGAATATTAGAACACTAACTTTTGGTCAGCTGTTGGTTTGGCATATCTAATTGGTTTCTGTTGATAGACAACTCTCTTTTCAGTCAAGCATACATATAATTGATTATCAAAAAGGCAAATGCAGCCTTAAATATAAAATATTCGATCGAGTGCATAAACTTTTATCTGTAATAAAATAACATTTACAACATCATTTATTAGGAATATATTCTAACCGTTCTTTAAATACTGCTTCCAGGTGTATTGGGTCGGACCCCTGGTTGGCGGTCTGATTGCAGGCTTTTTGTACGAGTTTATCTTCGCTGAAGACGCCTCGGTGAAAAAGCTGAAGAGATACTTAGCGTGCAGATGCCGCTCCCTTTTAGAGGAGGGTGAGGAATCAAGTTGTACTAACAAAGAAGAAGATTTCCAAAACAATGACAGTGATTTTAAGCCTGTTGAGTTCAGAGGGTACCAAAATCACGCTTACATTGAATCTACCCATTTTTGATTCTCTGTAGCTTTTTGTTTGACTGGTTCTCTGAGAGACCCAAACCCGTCATCACATTTTAACATCACGTGATTAAGCTACGTGGTCAGTTCTGAGTACAGCCATGGATACATTTTCGATGCGGGTCTTAAGACATCATGAAGGTAGATGATATCTTTCCCGTATTCCATGCTGTAGACGAGCTTAGTGATGACAATATTCCATACATAATTTCGTGTTGGACAGTGCATAAACCAGAGACCTAACTGTGAACATCTTGAAAAAATCAATGTGTGGTCCTGCCAGAGGGTATCTTGCTCCTCTCAGATGTTTCAGACAAGTCATTTTCCTCATGGATAGATAAATTATGTGCCTATGGTCACATTGACAACTTGAAGTGTAAAGAGCACTTCTTTCTCTCTCACAATGATTCAAACTGAAGAAAACAAAGTTCAATCCGGACCAAAAAGCAGACGTTCATTAATGTTGTGTTTTGTATATCATAATGTGTCTTGTAGAATATTGTTGTTTGACAGGAATTAAACTGCTGTAAGTATTGATTGCGTGTCTTTATTAACTGACGTGTATAAAATGGTTCTCAGCTACTCACGGATTCGGCTCCACAGTAACCATAAGATAAGTAGGCCTATATATATGTGGTTGAATGGATCCCCATCAGACTATTGTTAATGTACTAGATAAGCAGAAATAAAGGGGAGTACCTCTCCAGGGAGGAGGCTATTCACCTTGCCTCTAGATAAGCATCGAATATTGCAGGTAAAAAACAATTCAATACAAACTCTTGAATGAAGGAAAAATACAGTAACTTCATTCTTAATATTCCAAGTCTAGAGTATTGCTGCCTGTCTCCCTCTCTCTCTCACAGCAGCTACTTAACAATGAAAGCCAAAAGCCACACCTACACTAATGCACTTCGATCAAACTGGATATGAAGATCAAAGTCATTTCGTCACCACCAGCTTGCTGTTTACAACCTTCTTCCCCAAAAATGAACCATCAGACTGTTGTGGAAGAATTATAAGCCTACCTCTGTAGTAGAGGGCTTCCTCACATTAATGGCAGCCGAGACACCAACTATTATGAGATGAATATTATATAAAAAATATTAACTCAAATACGGCTTGCAACTTAATCTATATACATTTATCTCAGTGAAATTTTAAGTCAATGCTATTTGGTTCGTTATTGTCGATTGCGACCATCTCAACTGTTGCAATGTTAGAGTAGTACGGTATTAAATTGTGTTCACTGTTGTACCATGTCTCCTCCCTCTCTCTCTCTCTCTCTCTCTCGATCTCTCAGTTTAAACAAATATCACATCATATTAACAAAATTTAATATTAGTCGTAGGCCTACATGAACAAGAAACGTAAAATGACTTAATCCGACTCTGTGCTTTTGACATGACGGCACGCAACATTCGAAGACAAACATAACTGGAGGGGAATGTGTGTCTGCGGGAAATTACATTTCAGGAAGATATGCTTGTAAAGGCAAATTAGTTTACAGCAATAACTACATGCCAGACGTTACTGTTGCCACAGTAACTGTTGTCACAAATATGTCCTCCGTTCACAAGAGCAGCACATTTTGTTACATGTCGCAAGGTAGGGTCCTAGGCCTACAACGGAAGTTCAAGAACAAGACATGCTGAACAATATGCTTGCAAGTTTTGTTACTTTTAGCACACTGAAAAATACCAATTTGTTTGCGATAGTTAAGGCGGATACCGCATTAGACAAAGCAGCTTGAAGGTGTGTGTGTGTGTGTGTAAAATAGCACTGATATGGCATTTTCAGTCCATACACGCAAATGTCAGTCAATCACAATAAATGTTTTTTCTATCAATCAAGTGTTCAGTAGCTGGAAATACTAATAGAGAATACGCTAGCTCATAATGACTTAAAAATTTGACCAATGATCAGCATGTTTAACCCACAACTTAAGAATTTAGTACTCTAGCTCACATAAGGTATGGTTGGTACTACATGCACAAGTACGTGCACCAAAGCTGGAGCAGGGATTACGTGAAATTATACAGTGGTTTGCAATAATATCACTGAACTGATAAATATTCAAAAGCTAGTTGAAATACTAATGGAGATAATAGAGGTACGAGTCGCTGCAAAAATGAGCAATTAATAGCTTCATGAGGTGGTTGTCAAAATTATTGTTATGCACCTATATAGGCCTTTAAACGTATTATATTCATATTGATATTTGTCACGCACAGAGGGTTTTAGCATTTGTTTGTGTAATAAAACACATATAAAAAAGCATTACTGTTTCTTTATTTTCTGCAACACACACGTCTCCACCAACATGGATGCCTGACATCACATGGTTCAAAACTCCCACCAGAGGGACACCACAATGCACTGTGTCACCTCCAACACAATCCAAATAATACCAACTCTAATTCATAACAGTACTGTTTGTTTGTGATGGCGTTTGTCGGAATGTGAGTCTAGGCTTGTATTTGTGTGTTAGCTGGTCTATGAATGTGTAGGTTTTTTGTTAAAGCTTATACATAAATATATACGCATGGATAATTTACCTTTCTCAGTCGTGAATAAAATACAAGCTAATATACCCCCAAAATAAATAAATAAATAAAGTACTCCTTTCTATATGACGTTTCCGAATACTAGATATGTACTAGAATAAGATACCGTGGTGCATGAATAGGGAATTTAGACATTGTACATTCTATGAGTTTTTAGAAACATTATGCAGACAAAGAACTTCTACTGGAAAAATTGGAAAAGCACTGTCCAAACAAACAAGTGCTGCTACTTTTGCACCTCGTCGTTTTTGTGCAAATGACACGGAAATCGCAGACTCTATATCGCCTCCCCATGTACCTTTAGGTGCGCGTACTGAGGATACAGTTTATGCCGTCCATCCCTTCTTTGAGTGTGAATAAATATACTTGTAATATTCAGTATGTGCGCCTGTGTCAATAATTTGTTTTGTGTTAAAGCGCCGGTGTTTTCGGATGTACCTGTGTACTCAGTTTATGTGACACAGTATACAAATTTAACATATAGAATATAATGAAAATATATATGAAGAAGACATGTCCTACCTAATAAAAATCCGATTACATGTATTGTTCCTATAATGCACTATTCATAATGCATGGAATATAAAATGCAAGTATGGTATCTCCCATCCTTTTAATGCTTAGGGACATTATAAAAGTGGGGACGAAGCACTCTTCCTCCGTTGGATTTAATGTTGTCACGTTTGGATTAACGATTCATTTTCTTTATGCAAAAGAATGTCAACCAAATTCACATTTGGAAAATAAAGCTGAACGTACTGTAGCAGTTCTAACAGTGTATATACATCCGGGCGTGGTGATTAAAGGTTTTCAGTATGTTTTATATTTGACCAAAATATATAATTTAGGGAAAAAAGCCGAAATAGGTCGACCCATAAATTCACGTGCTTGCTCAAAAACAGTTCTGTCTACAACTACAAGAAAATTCTGATCTTGAAAGAATCATTTTCTCGTTGTTTGAATGTCTTCTGCATCCCATTCCATCACATCTTCAGCAGGAGTGAAAACAAGCTGCACAGTACGGTTGCCATGGTAACGGACATCGTTCTATCAGCAGACGATATGGATCCAATGGTTACTCCTGGCGTGGTTGCAGCAGGGGTCGTGGTGGCGGGGCAGGATACCTGGGGTAACACGTACGGTGTTGTGATCTGGAGACGTTGGATTAGACCTCCCTAAAATGAGAGCCTTGAACTTTAAAGATGCATATGAAGTCAATTTTTTTGCCACAAAAGCTGGACAAATGCCAGCAAATAGTTTCAAATACAGACTTGACATTTAATATGGAATATTTTTTTCGAAATAATTTTTTATCAGTTTTTTCCTATTTTGCTGACTGATAAATGAAAATAAGGATTAAAATAGTGTTTTAATAACTTTATATTATCTCTTTGATGTCATTGTGACATCAGTTCATTAATGGAATTCGCCAGAGAAGCAAACAAAAACACATTGCCTATTCTATGTCATACGACTACCATTAAAAGAGATATTTTAGATCTCCATATTTTCCAAATTATCGTCTGTAAAAGGGTAATACGCTCCACAAAAGACCCTCATGTCAGTTGCTGGTCACAGTAATGGTCGTTGTCACGCCTGGCCTCTTCGTGGCTGTTGCCAGCGCTCTCAAGCGGCAAGGCATTTCTTGGGGGTAGGTTTTTAGAGTTCAATCTGGAATAGCATTCCAGGCATCGGTCTAAAATTGTCCAATCTGGTCCAGTTTTGTTGTAGGACATGTAGGCAGTTGATTAGTGAGTAATGGTCTACCGAAATATTGTCTATGTGGTTCAAATGTGACGATTTTGATGACCAGGGTAGCTGCTCATTCCCTTGGTTCTGTAAGTTATCTGCTATTAAAAGTGCTCTGTGTGAACCTGCAACCTCATCGTGCAACCTAGAATTGTTCCTAAGGTGCCCCCTATCAAATGATAGTCAAGTGGTTCCGAGATTATTCCTTTATTTGATCTGGTTCAGGTTTTCGTCGATGACTACCATTGGTGTTTTGGCACCAATGTGGAATTTACTCCAAATACTGACGCTGTCAATCACCCTTGTCACTTGAGACCCGGCATATGCTTCGTCGTAGGCCTCTTCTGGATATCTGTAAACTCTGTTTTGACTAATTGGGCGGTACAGGTGAAATCTGACCTCAATAAAGAAAGCCACGCTGTTTCAGTGTTCTACCCAGAATCGTTCATGGCCCCCAAATCATTAGAGAAACAGACGACGATGTTTTGCTGTATATAGTGGGTACTTCGGAGGTCATTTGGTGTTCTTACCTGCTAAAACCAGTTTGGTGTTCGCTAAGAGCTTTGAAAAACGCATTTTAGTGGCAATTTACCCCTCGTTCTGAACGGACTAAGTGTTTTTTGTTTAGTTGCAGCAGAGTATCCTGAAAAACAGTGGGTCCTGTATCCTGTAGGTAAAATTTTGATGCATTGGGGACGACCTCTGTGTAGGTACATCAGTCTGGGCATTACTCTATAAAACTGTGGGGACCGTTACGTTTGGCGCTATGATCTGTCTGGTTATGTCTGTCTTTTTGGCGCCATTCTGCCTTAGATTAACAAATTTGTAATGCACTACTTGACTCATCTTACGCACTGCACAACTGACCGCTTGCATGCAAAATTTCAAATTCTTCTATGCAGTACTTGCCGAAATATGGATACTTTTTTGACAGAACCAAGCTTTGCATAAGCCAAGCTTTGATCAGCCCAAACTTGGACCTAAATAGAGAAGGCCTTCTCTATTTAGGTCCAAGGCCCAAAGGAACACTACCCAATTATATCACTGCAAATTACATAATGTAGCAGCGCAACAGGCATGAAAGTAAGTTAATTGGTAGTGACACACCTGACTGCACACTTTTACATTCACAAATCTTATATGAGATCGGAGTTTTTTTTTAAAAAGAACGTATTTTAACCTAGGTATACCTTCGAAACTGAAATATTCCATATTAAATGTCAAGTCTGTAGTATAACTAAGAGAATGCCAGAAGACATCGAAAAATGATATTTGAAAGGCTTTTACTGCTTGCTTTCTATGCTGTATATAAATGGGGCAGATACGTAGGTCAGATAAGTAGGTTAAATTTTCGACCAAAATTTAAAGAAAGCAGTTTAAAGCTCTTTTATGGTTGATCGAGTGATTTATTTAGCTTATCGCTTGGTATGTTGAATTTATTTGAGTCGTATAAGAAACTAGTAGAAGTGGTTTATATGTGTTAATGGGAATCCACGCTCCACCGATGCTCGGTTCATATGTACCTTTAATGTAAAGCCTTTCTGGGGCGGACCCAGGATTATTTGAAAGGGGAGTCCGCGGATTTGAAGCTCCCCCCCCCACCCCCATTTGTGTGGGGTTCAGGGCCCTTCAGCGGGCCCCGAAAATTGTGGGAATTTTAGAGGGCAAAGGGTGCCATTTGGTACGGGTTAGTAGGCCCACTATATATCTATCGGCTAGTCAAAATTTTAATTCCAAGAGCGGAATATTAGTGTGATTTTTTTCAGAAATCGAAAGGGGAGTCAGGACCTCCCTGCCCCCCTCCCCCCCCCCTCTAAATCCGCCACTGGCCTTTTCTCTAAAAAGTACTGAATTTATACTTTACTCGAACGTAATGTAAATTAAGATCTCCTACTGAGAAAGACATGCATGTCTGCGAGTACGCATGTAAAATGCGTATATGTATATTTTTAATATATAATAAGTATTATATTCTGGTTTAGTCACACTGCAATTAAAATCGCTCGTGAAATATAGCCAATTAGTTAACTTAATAAATGTATGTTATAGACCCGTAGAAACTTAAAATGAATTTTGAAAAATTGAAAACGCTTACGTGTCCATATCCATTTATTCCAGCACAATATTGCGCCCGAGTGGAATTCAGCTCAAGATCTTGGAATCTATCACGAGTCTGCACGTCTTGCCAGTTGACCAAGTTTTCCATGACATCTGGAAATCTGCGCCCTGCGTATTGCGATGGTGCTTGGATAATTACACTGTAGCCGTAGTCATTGGACCTAGAATTTTACAATGAAAGAGAATAAGAATTATATTATTTAAATCACACTGGTTTATTATTTTGTTACATGCACCACAGCAGCACAGTGGCAAATTACAATTACGTAAAAATAGCCAAGAAAACGTACAAGTCTATTGAAGATAACAACCCTCATGGGATTAATCGAGGTTATAAAACATCCTATTAATAGCTTTTTAACACAAATGGTGTCGTTGTTATTGAAAAATTGAAAGTTGAAAATACTTTGGTGTACAATAGTGACAATAAGTTTTTATCAATTTCCTGAAAGAGAGCCGGATTTCTCATGTATAATAGTGCTATAAGCAGAGTATATGCACGTGCGTAAGACCCCACAGCTAAGGGGACATCGAGCTGCCACAGTTAATTATCTACACTAAAGAAAAAAGGTTAATTAAATTTTAAAATAATTATTTCAATTTAAAGAAAAAAGGTTGATTAAATTTAAAAATAATTATTTCAATTTGACAGACATAAAAGAACAAAAAAAGTAGAAGAGCATATGAGGCGTTTTCACCCATGGGACATTTAAATGTGCTAAGCATGCTTGCCACACATCCCCTGTTCCGGTGTGTGTGTGTGTGTGTGTGTGTGTGTGTGTGTGTGTGTTGGAGGGGGGGCATTGTGCTGTGAGTGCCGAAAGTACTATCCAGAACAATGCTATAGTAGATAGACTTAAGTCGGTTTGTCCAGTGTATGTTTCAATTTTCAACTTTTTGTTTAGAATTTCAAGTGGATAAATAAAAATATTCTGATATCACTTACGCTGACGTCACCCCTGGGACTATTTTTATCAGCTCCGACTGCAGCGGTGCGCTGATGCAGTTTGTCAGGTTTACTCGTGGGTAATACATAATAAACGCCAGGCACATTTCTTCTTTAGTACCGAGTCCTCCCTGCAATGAATAGAATCTAAATTTTTGTATGATCTATTAAAATATTAATATTTTCAAAATAAGCAGAGTTACTACTCCCTTGTGTTCAGGATCAATATGGGATTCAGCTCAGCAATCTCTATTGTATTTCCACACATGTAGCACAAATATAACTAGTAGACGGTACTTGATGTATATGTACATGTATATCTTACCCACGTGACACTTGTTCGATCACTGCTTTTGTATTTGCAATGGGTGACCAAATCATCATTCTGGAATAAAAATCGTTGTGAAATTTAAAAATAGATTTAATGCGAATACCGCTAAGTCCAAGTAGAACTCAAACCTACTGGTATATCGTTATATAAATATTTGAATTAAGCTTATTTAGAAAAATTCTATTTGGCGCTAAAATTCTGGATATAGGTTTATTTTAAATCATCAGTTACATGTACTTCCCTAGGGAGCCTACACTGTATTTTGAAAAAAAATGCATTAACAAAAAGCGTTTGGGAGTTTATCAGTGCACGGGCTTCACTATTTCAATTTCATTTAATAGACATTTCAACAAAAAGTGTTTTCTTACCGGCATTATTTTCTTCGGTTCTTTGAAATACCTGTACTCCTGATAGTTGAAGTCGTAATTTTCGTCGTATGCCATATACGGAAGTTCTACTCCGTCCCGGAAGTGCCTCAGGTAAATTGAAGTTCCCGCCAAATGAGTGTGCAGCACTGCACCAAATGCATTGATTCCCTCTGGCACGTTTACTAAACCCTGTATATACATAAAGAGGTGTGAGAGGTTTCAATACCTTAGACGATATAAGGTCAAAGTGTGGGCATGTCTCCAAAACAAAAATAGCACTTTCAGATTCGTTCTGAAAATGGCTCACAATGAGAGCGTTTGTAATAATGGTAGACTTTGCCAGTCCCACACCAAGCTAGTCTGTCTAATCTCATGATAAACAACAGGCAGCGTAATTTTATCCATTACAAAATGCAGATGGTTTCGAAATCTAATCTAAATTGCGTACAAATAATTTGTAACTATATGACATGCTTCGCCATTTCAGTTTTCCTTGCATTCGATTGTACTTGTAGTTCTATTGCCGGCATAATAGATGTGTCTCTACTTATTTGGAACACAATATTTTGATTCGTATGCTCTTACACTTTCCAAACAGTCGGAGCACTGTCCCCAGCTGTAGAATTCGTCATAGTATGGTGGAATGACGTGGTTTCTAGAGACCATAACGCCAACGTCCATTATCCCTGCATCATACTGTCGACGACGTGGTATAAAGGTAAAACGCACACCAGATGAGTCCACGTAATCTGAAATTATTGAAATCCAAAGTCATGAAAAGGACTCACAAAACAGAAAAACCAAACAAATTTATATAAGAAGAATGCACACAACTAAAGATATCGTGGTACTTCCAGAATATTTTTTACGTACTTTATTGTTAGGTTGTAATTTTTTACTTTCAAATGATGCATGGTGGACTCTATAGCTGTGGAGTTTTTACAGATAAATATCGACACGTGAGACAAAGACTAATTGACCCTGTGAAGATAATACTGTGTTTATCAAAGGGATATTTTCATATATTCGGTGGACACACCCATATGGAAGCAATTTCATATACTCTCACAGGTTTAGTTCGGGAATTCTGTATTGGTTTTATATGCAATTGCACCGTTGAAAAAATAGCGTTTCATTGGGGCTATTTTCAGGAAACTATTCATCATGTAGGCCACGAATAAAAACGTATTTTTTGGGGAAACATGTTTTGTTTGTAATTGAAAGAGAAAATGTTGCTCTTACCATCTACATCAGTTCAAATTTCCAATATTGCACTATTTTTATTCAAGCAAAATTTACATATATCACAAATTGTACCGACTTTCTTTGAAAATACGTATGTTAACCCAGCAATTTTTAAGACTAATGAAAAGAAGGTGGAAAAAGAGCATATAAACTGAAGTAAAGTAACAGCAAATATTGTCCAATTTTCACCTGTATATACCACTTGTAAACCAATAAATAAAATAATACAAAATATATCTCTGAGAACGAATGGAAAATCCGCTTTGGTCTGTAGACGTATGATATCGACTCACCATTTCTCAGAGCTGGGTTGTCATAGTGGGTTTCTAACAAAATAAAAGTGGGGTCACCTTCACCTCCAAAAGGATAGCCAACATTTTCTGGATACACCTGAGCCTGTAAACATAGATTGATCAATTATTTAATTATACAGTTGACACAATCGATAAATATAAAAACGATTTATTAGTGATTGCAAAAATCGTAAAACAATTTTAAGTTAAATAATCCAAATATACACTCTGTTCATACTCACTTCTCCTCCAATTGCCCACGCCATCAGCATTTGTTGGCATAATTCAAGATCTGGAGGCATATTTCTCCTCGCACCGCATGACTCGCTATAATTGGCGTGGTCAGTGAAGTTGAACTGGTGGTTGCAGGCATACACTATAAAGTGATGCACGATAGCTTCGTTCCCAACTTGAACTATCGGCTCTGCCTAGAGGATATAGGCATATATGTACGTACCGATATATCCATTGTTGATTTGGTTCTTTTCGAATAATCGGACTGTCAAAGGTCAATTCTACTAAAGTTCCCAATCAAACAAAATGAAAAGGTTAAGTTTTCTTTTAAATATTTCATACTATTTAATGAAATAAAGTGCCATGGAGAGAAAAAAGAAAACGCGTCGTTCAAAGGGTACAAACTGATGATGGAATGATTCTAATTACCCATGCGTTTTGGTGTTTGTCATATTTCGACATGTTATTCCTCTTTGCCTTTGAACAAAAACAATAGTGTCTGTTTAATATATACTTAAGTGTTCAATGGAGAATTAAATCGTACCTTAATCATGTGATGAACGCCACTGAAACTGGGCAGCGTGAAGCCTGAACACCAGTATGTTGTGTCAGAAGTTGAAGGTACTTGAACCTGGTAGTATAAGATGCAGTGAGATTATATGTCAGTGCATGTTCTTAGACAGTTATAACTAGAACCAAGTATGTAGTCAGTCCTGGTATATACTTATTGAAAGGATTAGGGGTAAGACCGGAACGCCTTTTTAAAAGCCTTTTTAAACTTGAATTCTACCAAGTTCCAGAATTCAAGTTTGAAATATTCTTGATGCAATATGTAATAGGTTCGATCCCCCTTAAGTTAAAATTTCTAGCGTAGATATCGCAAAGATCCATTTCAACGTTTATTAAATAAATCATTTGTGTCTGTGGAAATTATCAGACGAGGACGGATTTGACGTTAATACAGGGGAAACAGAAGTCCCTTATCATTCAAAAAATCCAAAATCCTTATACCTTATTATTTAGAAATTCCAAGGTATATGCATCGTTTGGTATAGTGACAGTGTTAACTGGATTATCAGCGGACTCCAAAAGGAACATGCTCTTTGCTCCACGGTTCACGTTTCCATGGTACAGAAGGTCTGTCTCAGTCAATGGGTCTGAATCGTGGTAAGCCCATATAATGCGCATTGTACTTTGCTATAATGAAAATTATTTTATGTTGAGTACATTTATCAGAAATAACGACTGACTTGAAACACGCTGTTTTTTCCCTTTTTTAACAAATGCCAATCGAAATTTTTAAGGAAAGAGGTTCCGCCATCCTTATTTTTCAAATCATTGAGGCTTATTTATCCATGAAAAAAGAACAAAAAATATTGACATCTCAAACAACCTTTCCAAGCACATCATTTATCATTATTGATAACGCCTTAAATAATTATTTTCTGTGAAAATTGGCCTTTTTATAATACATTTCTGTTGTTTTGCCACCTTGTGTACATTATATGAAGATAGAAAAAAATCGTCTAACATACTTTCCCACAAGGCCCAATGCAGTGTATATAATCTCTTATTAAAATTTGGGATATAATTTGTTTAATTTACTATAATTATTTTAATTTGCCTACTTGCCTATTGTTTTCCTGTGGAAAAAATGAGGCAGATCTACTAGTAAAATATATTACTTTCGTAACAGATGTATACGTGTTTAAAGGAAATTTTAAAGTACACACAAAAACATTTGTTACACTTGTTACCAGGAATTATTCTTATCACTCACTGTTATCTTGTTATCTTTACTATCACATGTGTCCAGTCTACGCTTAAAGCGTAATGTCGTAAAGGTGCTGTTCTCGCTGCCAGAGATCAGCTCCACATCTTGGCTCGCGTCGATAGAGGGCATTTGCTTCGCCGTCGCGTAGCGATCCTGAAATATGGATTAAAAACCAGCTATATTACTATGCTACAATCAAAAACAAGCAAGCGACAAAGCTGTCGCATTAACCTGCAATCCTGCCCTTGAATTTTAGGAGCGTACGTGCAGTGAAGGGCCGTGGAGTTTGTAGAGTTAGAGCATGGAAGTATTCTTCGATGGTTAGAGGAAAGGCTGCAATGGAAATGCGCAAGTCTGCCTTGCGAGTGGCAGGGGCAACGTGAGATGTCCTTTCAAGCTTAGCAGGCACGCTAATTGCAAGGTGCGACTGCCTTGGGAATTGTACTTAATTCTTGTAGAGTTTGCCTTGCTGCCTGCACACGCATTCATCACTCAGGCCCCTATTTCACACAGACCACGAATCCCACGAATCGCCAGGAATTGACAAATTTCAGGATTCGTGAGGATTCGTGAGATTTTGCCAATTTTCTGGTCTAATTTGACACGCTCACGATTCAGTTACGATACAAGTGCGATAGTGTTACGAATATTCGTGGGATTCGGCTGGAATCGCACGAATATTGTCCAGAAATTCACTACGATTTTTTGGAATCGTGAGTTCGTGGCAAAAACTTTGAACAGCTCAAAATTTTTGCCACGAATTCCCGATTGATCAAGAATTGCAAGAACTGACTACGATTATATACGAATCTGTTAAGAACTTCACGAACTGATTACGATTCAACCACGAATCCTGAAATTTTCAATTCCTGGCGATTCGTCGGATTCGTGGTCTGTGTGAAATAGGGGCATCAAAGTTTTTGCCACCAATTCCTGTTGGTCAAGAAGTGCAAGAACTGACTACGAATATATACGAATCTGTTAAGAACTTCACGAACTGATTACGATTCAACCACGAATCGTAAAATTTGTCAATTCATGGCCATTCGTGGGATTCGTGGTCTGTGTGAAATAGGGGCATTACAGCCCTTTCATCACGAAATTTCGGATGCTCTTTCAAGCCGTCTTTCTACTTTCCACTTCCCGTCAGCGGCCGCCTAGGAGTTTAAGAGTGTTTAAAATGTGCATTTTAAAAATAATCAGAGCAAAAATATGACTCGTTGTTGCATTATACACGTAAGGCCTCTCAATACTCAAATGAAATAAAGGCTTATTTAGCCAAGAAATATAAAAAATAAATAATTTTGGGAATAAAATGCCCTGTAAAAGCGTCGTTGTTTTATAATACTGTGAAAGTTGTATAAATAAAAATGTTTAAGACTTTGTATTAGAGAAGGATAAGGTTAAAATGATAAAAGCTACATAAAGATCGTTTACCACTCTCTTCAGTTAACGGTTCGCACAGGGCATAATGGATTTTCAAGACGTGTTCTGTTCAAATAGGGAGTGTGAAAGGGGTGTACAGATACCTGCAGTCGTCTTATAATAAAAATCGGGCTGGATATCATACTACTATTGAACTTGACTGAACAGTTTGACTTTCAGATGTAATGAGAGCCTTCCCTCAACATCAAGGGTCTTGTGACCCACATACCTATTTCAATCGCTTGTTCGTTTCTGCTCCGCCTTTGACAAACTATTCTCTTTCAGTCCTCTAATATTGACTGAATAGGACTTAGGTTAAAAATCGGGTCATGTTATGAAAGCTGTGGTTGTGCAGCAACAAAGTTTAACAGTTAAATGCGAATAAATCATGACATTTTTACTCAAAATACATCGTAGGTTTAAACCGCAGTATTTTTAGATAGTGAAGGGGACAATGGTCATGAATATGTAGACCTACATGTAAAAAAATCAAACACTGTGTAAGATTCAAAAGTATATACCTTTAAATTAGTAGCATATTCGATAATCGTAATTATTCTGTGAAATTATAATCCAATAAACGTAAATATCCACTGAAATTATAATCTGATATTTGTTTTCCAAGAAAATAATATTAAGAACAGAGGTGGCAAAAAGCAGAAAAAGTGCACCGTCATTCGCTTAACCTTTTCTGCCCTAGACAAAGAAATGGCTTTTGATGACTTTTCCTATTTTCTATTACGAAATATTAAATTAGTCGTTAAAATTCTGCTAATAGAATTCAGTTTACAAATCCCTAACCCAAAATAAAAAAGATGTTAAACACTTAAACCCTATTACGTTTACCTTCAAGTACGCCGTCCCATCTTTCACCCATCCGATGACGATATCCGCCCCTGTCATACCCCCATTGGGAGAGAATCCAAGTCCTATATAGCCTGTGGTTCGAACCTGGGTCTCAAACGTGATAGTTTCATTGTCGAATTTCCAGGATAAAAAGTAGACGTCATCCTTAAGTACCGCATGGTGAGTGAAATCCGCCAAACTGGGCATGACGAGCGCAGCAAAAAGTGATAGAACACTAAACACCAGCATTTTAGGAACACTGACTTCAAACTGCTAAAATAACCGAGCGGTCCAAAAGCGTTTTTTATAAATGTTAAATTAGATGCTTAGTCAGTTCTGCTATAGAAATCACCTTTACTTGAGTTGTGCACGGGGTATTGCACAAGACGCTGGGATGTGAATCGATGAAAGGCTGGGCTTAATAACGTTCGAGTGTGAGGGTACACAAATATCGTGAACAAAATAGTGCCCCTTTGTGTGTACTGTTTACCTTGCTCTATTAAATGACCCTCCGACGGTGAGAGGAAGAGTACCCGCGACCTTGCAGTCGAGAGTAGCAGATGAGAATAGCAGATGTCCTGCAATACACTTCTCTGATGAATCTTTGTGTAGATTGTTGTGAAGACGGGGGGAGGGGGGGGAGAGGGGGACGAGTTGGGGGGGAGGACACTCTGTCTTCTCTTTATCCAAGATTCAGCAGGGACATCGCACAATGTACTTTAAATTAAATACTATGTATGTATTGTTTAGGGAAAAGATTGAATATATAGATGTATCTTGAGGCGCTAATATGGCTAAGTTGACAGCTTGCATGATAACTTTAATTCGCATCATATGTACATTATAGGCCCCCGGCCCTCCATGCGCTTACAATGCCACAGCGTCTATGGGCTTAGAGCGCCTAACATTACATAATAATGAAAAGTGCACTGGGTATGACTTTTTTATTGTATGAAAAGCTCTTTTTTCTCTATGAAGCTCAAACGAAATTGAAGCTGGACATAAAAGCAAAGAAAAACTTTTATTAGTGACTGCAATGAATATATCCCAGCTACAATCCTTTTATACAATACATGCTAGTAGGTAACTATTGATTAAGGCTGTTGTTGCTAGATTGACATTGTTTTCTTCTTCTTCTTCTTCTTCTTCTTCTTCTTATTATTATTAAAATGAAATATTTGTAATTCAAAGTGACGGTCACTTGTTTCCTCTTAATATAGCATAAAGAGAATTCCGTAGCGCCGCATCATTAATACTTGTGTACGATTAATAAACATGCACAACATTCATATTCAGTAGTAACACGATTGTGGGATATAACCTAATTTAAACGGAGAAAAACTCACACCGATACAACAGTGCAGTAATTTTAGATCCCACAAGGAATTGTCAGTGGCGGATTTAGAGGGGGGGGGGGGGGGGTCCTGACCCCCCTCTCTAAATCCGACCTGACCCACCTTTAATTTCTGAAACATATATCACACCAATATTCCACTCTTGAAATTAAAATACCACCCCTCACATTCTTGACCACAGTATGAGTATGCACAACTGTTTCTTTATTTTCTGCAACACACGTGTCTCCAACATCTTGGACTCCTGACATCACATGGTTCAAAACTCCCACCCGAGGGACAACACATAATATACTCCCCACCCCCCCAAAAAAAATAAATAAATAAAGTACTCCTTTCTATATGACGTTTCCAAATACTAGATATGTACTTGGATAAGATACCGTGGTGCGTGAATAGAGTATTTAGACATTGTATATTCTATAAGTTTTTAGAAACATTATTCAGACAAAGAACTTCCACTGGAAAAATTGGAAAAGCACTGTCCAATTAAACAAGTGCTGCTACTTTTCGTTTTTGTGCAAATGACACTGAAATCACAGAATCTATATAGGCTACACACGTGTCTTTGGGTGCACATGCTGAGGATAAACTTTATGCCGTCCATCCCTTCTTTGAGTGTGAATTAATATACTTGAAATATTCAATATATGCGTCTGTGGTGGTGATGTTTTCGGGTGTACTTGTGTACCCAGTTAATGTGACACAGTTTTAGTATATATAACATATAACGAAAATATATCTGAAGAAGACATGTCCTACCTAATAAAAATCCGATTACATGTATTGTTCCTATAATGCACTATTCATAATGCATGGAATATAAAATGCCAGTATGGTATCTCCTATCCTTTTAATGCTTAGGGACAATACAAAAATGGGAACGAAGCACTCTTCCTCCGTTGATTTGATGTTGTCATGTTTGGATTAACGATTCATTTTCTTTAGGCAGAACAATGTCAACCAAATTCACATTTGGAAAATAAAGCTGAACGTACTGTAGCAGTCAGAACGGTAAATATGCATCCGGGCGTGGTGATCTAATGTTTGCTGTATGTTTTATATTTGACCAAAATATATAATTTGGGGAAAAAAAGCCAAAATAGGTCGACCCATAAATTCACGTGCTTGCTCAAAACAGTTACATCTACAACTACAAGAAAATCCTGATCTTGAAAGAATCATTTTCTCGTTGTTTGAATGTTTTCTGCATCCCATTCCATCACATCTTCAGCAGGAGTGAAAACAAGCAGCACAGTACGGTTGCCATGGTAACGGACACCGTGCTATCAGCAGACGATATGGATCCAATGGTGACTCCTGGCGTGGTTACAGCAGGGGTCGTGGTGGCGGGGCAGGATACCTGGGGTAACACGTACTGTGTTGTGATCTGGAGACGTTGGATTAGACCAAAATCCTAAAATGAGAGCCTCGAACTTTAATGTAAAGCCTTTTCCCTAAAAAGTACTGAATTTATACTTGACTCGAACATAAAGTAATATATGTATTAAATTCTGGTAAAGTCTCACTACGATTAAGATCAGTCGTGAAAACAGAGTATTGAATAACTAAATAAAAGCATGTTTATAGGTCCGAATTTTAAAAATTTGAAAACGCTTACGTGTCCATATCCATTTATTCCAGCACAAAATTGCGCCCGAGTGGAATTCAGCTCAAGAGCTTGGAATGTATCACGAGTCTTGACATTTTGCCAGTTGACCAAGTTTTCCATGACATCATCAAATCTACGCCCTGCGTATTGCGATGGTGCTTGGATAATTACACTGTAGCCGTAGTCACTGGACCTAGAATTTTACAATATAAGACTATAAGAATCATACTATTTAACGCACGCTGGTTTAAAATTTTGTAACATGCACCACAGCAGTGACAAATTACAACTGCGTAAAATAGCCGAGAAAACGTACAGAACTACTGAAGACAACCACACTCACCGGAATAATCGACGTTATAAAGCATCCGATTAAGAGCTTTTAATGCAAATGATTGGTGTATTTTAAAAATTGAAAGTTGAACTTTGCTGAACACTGTCCTGAATAGTGAATGCCATAGAATATAAACTTCCGTCTGGACTCAGATCATCGGAATGCCCAGTAAAGTTTCAATTTCCAATTTTCATTTTGTTTGAAACTTTTACTGGATAAATCAAAATATGTATGTCACTTACGCTGACGTCACCCCTGGGACTATTTTGATCAGCTCCGATTGCAGGGGTGCGCTGAAGCAGTGCGTCAGGTTTACTCGTGGGTAATACATAATAAACGCCAGGCACATTTCTTGTTTAGTACCGAGTCCTCCATGCAATGGATAGCATTTGTATGATCTATATGCTAATATTTTCAAAATAAGCAGTACCTCTCACAATTCTGTGAAGTGCAACGGAATTCTGATGTTATTACTTCCTTGTGTTCAGAATCAATATGGAATTCAGCTCTGTAATCTCTATTGTATTTCCACACATATAACACGGATATTACTAGTAGAAGCTATTTCATGTATATGTGCATGTATATCTTACCCACGTGACACTTGTTCGATCACTGCTTTTGTATTTGCAATGGGTGACCAAATCATCATCCTGGAATAAAGTGCGTTTAGAAATTTTAATTACATGTAGATTTAATGCGATATACATTAGTGATCAACAAAGAAGGCAAATGTATTTATCATTCAACAGATTCTGAAGCCATGAAATCCGAGCAGAACACCGACTAATATATCGTTATCTAAATATTTCAATTAAGTATATTGAGGAAAATTCTATTTAGCGCTAACGTTCTGGAAGTAGGTTTACTTTAAATCATCAGTTACTTCCCTAGAGAGCCTACACTGTACTTTGAAAAATGCATTACCAAAAGGTGTTTGGGAGTTTATAAATGCACGGACCTTGCTATTTCAATTTCATTTAATAGACCTTTCAACAAAAAATGTTTTCTTACCGGCATTATTTTCTTCGGTTCTTTGAAATACCTGTACTCCTGATAGTTGAAGTCGTAATTTTCGTCGTATGCTATATACGGAAGTTCTACTCCGTCCCGGAAGTGCCTCAGATAAATCGAGGTTCCCGCCAAATGAGTGTGCAGGAACGCACCAAATGCGTTTATTCCCTCGGGTACGTTTTCTAAACCCTGTATATACATAAAAAGGTGTGAGAGGTGTCAATACCTTGGACGATATTGGGTCAAAGGGTGCATTCCCAGAGATATAGATCGATCGAGAGATTTAGATTTAGATCGACCTAACTCCTTGGGGGTTCACGCTAAATTGCAGTCAGCCGAGCGCGCACATAGTTAATTACCCCCTTACAGCTTTTAGTAGGCGGGACAGACGCTTAAGCCGGCTAAGCTGACAGTAATCTAGTGAGACTCCCCACAGAGATAGATCGATCTAAAATCTATGGGAATGGGGTGTTAAACATGCTTCGCCATTTCAGTTTTCTTTGCATTTGTTTGTCCTTGTAATTCTGGCATAATAGAAGTGTCTCAACTTATTTGGAACACGGTACATGTATTTTGATTCGTATGCTCTTACACTTTCCAAACAGTCGGAGCACTGTCCCCAGCTGTAGAATTCGTCATAGTATGGTGGAATGACGTGGTTTCTAGAGACCGTAACGCCAACGTCCATTATCCCTGCATCATACTGTCGACGACGTGGTACAAAAGTAAAACGCACACCAGATGAGTCCACGTAATCTGAAATAATGAAAATCATGAAAAGAACTCACAAAACAGAAAAGCCAATCAATTACAAATAAGAATTCACCCAACTAAAGATATCGTGGAACTTCAAGAGTATTGTTCATATTTTAGTGTTAGGTTGTAATTTTATATTTTCGAATGATGGTGGATTCGAGCTACGGGATGTTTACAGATGAAAGGCGACATGTGAGACAGAGACATATTGACCCTGTTAACATCATACCATGTTTATCGAAGGGAAATCATTCAGATATTCAGTGGATACACCCATATTGAAGCAATTTTATATACTCTCACAGGTTTTAATGATGTG